GATGGTATTCAGATTACTAATACTATAATCCCACTGTATCAGCACCTGACTATAACCATTAAGAAACTTTCTTTGAATAACCTTTACTGTACTTAATTTTGTACGTTAAAATACATAGGATTATTATATGTTTAGTTGACACATAATAATCATATGTATTTATGAGGTACACAGTGATGTTTTGATACATGTAATGCATAGCAATCAGATCAGGGTAATTAGCAAATCCATCATATCAAACATTTATCATTTCTTTGTATTCAGAGCATTCAATATCCTCCTGGCTATTTGAAACTATATATTATCAATTAGAGTGATCCTATAGTGCTAGAGAACACTGTAGAATTTACTCCTACTATCTAACTACAATAAAAATTTTTAATAAGGCCTTTATCAGGTCTCAAAGCCTAAAACAGAACAAACCAGAGATTGTCACTACTGCTTCACTTCTTAATCAAAGATTTGTGGGAAATCCTCTTTAAGATTTAAATCCAAAAGTTCTAAAAGCATGGTACATGGGCCCCTGGAGTCCTGACACTCTTTTAGGGGACTCACTCACAAGATTGAAACTATTTGTATAATACTAAAATTTAAAATCTTAAAATTAGTGGCATCTTAGAATGAATTAAAGTCACCATCAAGCACCAGCAACTATAAAACAAGAAAAAGTCAATGTCACTTAAGAATGTCCTTGAAACAGTAAAAATTATTCATTTTTACACACCTTTTTATGTGACAAAATGAGAAGTCTGCATGAATCATTTCTGCTACATACCAAATTACAATAGTTGATGGCTGTCTCAAAGTAAAGTACTTCTTTACTGAATTGAGAGCTTCAACTAGCCTGTTTTTAAATGAAGTGACTGAAAGAATGACTGACAGACTATGGTTATTCAAACTGGAATATTTTGGCAGCGGTTTTCTCAGAAAAGAATAAAGTGAACTTGCTTGTCACTTTAAGTAAACGATTGGTAGTCACATCTGTTGCCAATGATAGAATTTGAGCTTTCAAGCAAAAATCAGAATTCTGGAAAAATCATATCCGCCATCATCATGTCAAGATCTAAACAGCTTCCCAATAATTTGTCTCTAACAGAATGGGTGGTGATATTAACAAACGTAACTTTCTTTGCTATTGCATGATGAAAGATGTCAACATTTGAAAGATCTGCATAACACTGAACTAATATTTACAAATGACCAAGGAAAGATGTTACAATTTCAGGAATGGGTATAAGATCCACTCAAAATTCAAACCAATGGGTTTTAATGTAACAGAGCAGGCAAAAATCCACTTACATGATTTCAGATTCCTCACTGCAACTAACCTTTAAGAAACTGGCACTTACTGAGTTTTGATAAGAGGCCAAACAAGAATATCCACAATTATCTGAAAAAGCTATTAAAATGTTCTCTCCCCTGGCCTCCCCACCGTATTAAGCCATTAACTGTGTGAGACTAGATTTTCTCCACATATGCTTCAATCCAAACAACGTATTGCAATAGGCTGGATGCTGAAGTAAATATGATAATCCAGCTGTTTCCATTAAACCGAACAGATTTACAAAAAAGTAAAACAATGCCACTTTTCTCACTACCTTATTTTTTGTTTTAAAAAAAGTTCTTTTCATTAAAACTATGGCATTTATATTAACATGTAAAGAGTTTATAACTGTCATTTTAAGTGAATTGACGAAACAATTTATGTTTCTCTTTTCATTTACAATACAGTAAATATTCACAAAAGTTTTTTGGGGATCCTCAATAACTTTTAACAGTATAAAAGCATTCTGAGACCAAAAGTTTGAAAGCATTTAGAGTTTTAATATCAGATCCCTGCAAACCAAGAACAAGTATGCAAAATCATTATTGGAAGGGAAAAAAAGTCCCTACAAAAATTATATGAAAGCTGAAAATGAACACAATGTCAAATCAAAACTGACCTCACTCTACATAATATCAGTAAAGAAGAAAATAAAGAATGCTTAGATAAAACTGGTTTTGTGTACCCTGGAAACATCATACAATATCCTGATCAAATAAACATGTACCTACCTACCAATATTTTGACAGATCATATTTTTGATAGCTGCACATTATAGTCAAAGAAACACCCAATCACAAACTCAAAAACAGATGATTAAAAGATTAAAATAGCAGCCATCACCAACAGGAAGGAGACAATCCAAGGTTCTGTCAGAAGGAACAGACAGGGATATTTCAGCAGCTCTCCAGTAGCATCCCAGGGCACCCAGCTCAGGGTCTAGCTGTTCTATTTAAAACTGACTTACATGTTTCCAAGGCAGGACAGTGAGACTAAGCTCTCATTTAACCCCAAAGGAGCAAATGGGTCATAGTGGAATTAATATGCACTAATACTGCTCCATCAGCCAAAAGTCCTTTTTCCGCTTACTAGATCCCTTAGAAGACTGAAGAAGAGCAACGGTAATAATAACAACATTTACTGGGCACGTACTAAATGCCAGGCACTGTGGCCTATGCACTTTACATGCATTAATCACTCAATATTTGAGAATATCTTAAGAGTATACACTACTATTATGTCATTTTTGGAGCTGAGAACATTAAAGCACAAAGAGGAAAAATAACTTGCCTTAAAAAAATAAATAAAAATAACTTGCCTGAAGCAAAGCCAGGTCACAAAACCTAGTCATCTGGCTCAGAGGCCCAACCCCTTAGCCACTACACTATACTACACACGCAGAGTAATCAACAATAACATATAAAATTGAAAATTCAGTGCCTACCCTACACAATTTGTTGTTTACCTTGAAACCCACTGCCTAAGGAAAGCTCCCACCTTGTAGATGGCCCTCTGACAGATGCATCCATTACTATTCATGCACTGTTCAACTTCCAGATAGCAGGGGACTTCAAACAAAGAAAGTAGATTTGGGAAGATGAATACTTTGGATGAGGTTTAAAAAAATTCAAGCCAGGTGCAGTGGCTCACACCTGTAATCCCAGCACTTTGGAAAGCCGAGACAGGCAGATCACCTGAGGTCAGGAGTTCGAGACCAGCCTGGCCAACATTGTGAAACCCTTTCTACTAAAGATAAAAAAATTAGCTGGGCATAGTGGCGGGTACCTGCAATCCCAGCTACTCAGGAGGGTGAGACAGGAGAATTGCTTGAACCCAATACAGGGAGGTTGCAGTGAGCAGAGATGGAACCACCACATTCCAGCCCAGGCAAGAATGAGACTCCATCTCAAAAAAAAAAAAAAAAGAATACAAATTACAAAATTTCATAACTCTTGGACCTCTTTTCCTTCTGCTAATGGAAGTAAAACCATTAGCTAGACTTTTTTAAAGAGTACCATGCTTCAATTCAAGTCAATTGGAAAAGCTTTATAAAAATAGCTTCTACAAAACTGTACATTAATAGATTTAAATGCTTTGCAATACTGGCCAAATATGAGGGTAGTTTTAAGCCTATCCACTTCATTTCCGAGTTCAGAGTGAGTCTGCAGTTGCAATTATGTGATGAATCAATTCAAGGCAGAGTTTTGTGATCATTAAAAAGGAACATGTAACTTCACCATAAAGTTTAACTCCAGAAAAGTGGAATGGGAAAATGAACAAGTCATATTAGAATTCTGCCTGCAGGATGAGAAACAGTGGGTAAGGCACAACTAATTATCTCGCAGTAATTCTACGTACGAAATACAGATATTTTAGAGTTTTGTTTGGTTTTGACATTTGGCACATGTTTTAAAATAAGCACCATTTAAAGTGCCTTAAATAAATCACTTTTTTGGCATACTTAACTAAAAATATTCCACAATACAATTACAAAAATAACTTTCTGGTTTTCTCAGACAACCAGTTTTTAAGAATAATTCAGAGGTCCACAAAGGATAATCTGATTTACATAAAGCTTAAAAAACTTATTTTATTTTAAAATAAAAAGTAAGTGGAAATGAATGATTAAGAAGATTAAGATCCTTTCTAACTATAAATTGTCATGCATTGAAATTAAACACAACTACAATTGTTTAAACACCTAAAGGAAAAAAACCCACATAGAATTAATACTGCCAAAGAAAATTTCCGCTACCTTCAGGCACTTGAGCAAGCTCTGTTAAAACGGGAAATGGTCTTTAAATTATCCATATTCACATCGATTACACTATGATGCATGAAAACCCCATTCTACAATGAGTAAACGCCCAGGAAAGGAACCCAAAAAACTCCAATTCCCCTGGTGCTCAAAAGAGGTTTATTCGGCAGCACAAGGTGGGAAACGACAGTGGAGTCGAGCAAGCCTCTGGGTTACAGGAGTCCTTGAACACTGGCAATTGAGAACACGCAATTCAGGAAGGAAGACACTAGGGAAACCCTGCACTGTCATCGAGGATGATCTGATTCAGGTTCAAACCAAAAGCTCAAGGCGACAAGTTGTAAACAGAAGACACACACTTCAGCTCAAACCACCTAGCGAGGGGAAGCAAACCTGCCCATAGCTGATGTCACAGCAAATGCCACCTCGCTGGCGCTCAGCCGGGAACCCTTAAGCACTGGGGCCCGCGACTCCGCAGCCGGGTACTACTAGGGTGGGGAGGGTGGGGAGGGGCGCGGGTCTGGGCGCGCCCGCCCCCAGCCCTGCAGCCCCTCGGCTGGACTCCCAGCGGCGCCGCGAGCTCCGGCTTGAGAGAAAGGGCAGAGCAGAAGGGGCGGCCTCCGCCCAGAGACCGCGCCCGATACCCTCCGCGAGGACTGGGTCGGGGGTCTGCCTAGGGTCCGGAGACTGGAGAAGACGTTTTCCAGATCCAGCCAAAGCCCCAGCCCGTCACGGCTTTCCCTCAAGACCGAGTCCGTTCCCCTCACGCCCCGTGAAAGACACAACGCGTCAGGTAAGGAGCGCAGGGATCCAGGGTCGCCCCTCCTGCCCCCGGGCGCCGCCGCCCGCCACTCCCGCGGCCAGGGGAGAGCAGAAGGGAGGCTGACTGGGACGCGCGGACCGCAGCGGGGCGCTCACCGGCTCAAGATGGGGCGCTGGCGAGGACCGCGCAGAGCCGCAGCACCCGGCTTGGCACCCGGATCACGGCAGATCCCTCGCCGCCCGCCGCCCTGTGTTTTCATACAAACCCTGGTGGCAGGCAAGGCGGAGGCGGCGGCGGCATCTGCGGCTGCGACTCTGGAGGCGGCAGAACCTGCCCGCATCCCGGGCAACGTCAGCGCGGCGCTCCGCCCACCGCACGCCTCGCCAGCCGGCTCCCTGCACGCGCTGGGAGGGAGGAGGCGGGGCGTGCGCGGCCGCAAAAGAGGCGGGGCGGAGCGCACGCCCCCTTCCCACCGCGCCCCCTGTTACCCCCGCGCGCGCTCCGCCCCGCCCCTCTGCGCGCCCGGCGAGAGGGAGCGCGCTCGTGGGGGCGGGGATTAGGGGCGGGTGTTCCGCGCGCTGCCAGCCCCGTGTCCTCAGCAACCCCGGCCACCGCCCCACCGTACCGAACTACGAGCGACTCCCCACGTTCTTCAAGTCACCTTTCTGTAAGCTTCCACCTAGGGCCCCAGCCTTTTCCCGGAACTAAGCCCGCGCCTACCCACTGCCCCGCCATCAATCAGTCACTCTTTTAGAAAGGGATCTTAACGCTCCCCACGTGATACCAGGGTCGCATACTGCGGTAAAGCTTAGCCCTTTCCTGACCTCAAGGATGGTCCATAATAAGAGGCTGGAAGAGACACGCAGTTACTACAGTCGGGCTCCCAGAAAACAACAGGATTTTACCATGTGGCCAAACCTCTGTAAATTAGATGCCTAGTGCTGCAGCGAACAAAATAGTATGATGAACTGAAAAGATTGCCTGCATATAATCAAAACGGTAATGCTAAGTTGGCCACTGAAGGCAAAGGCGGAATGTTTTATCTGAACCAAAGTAATGTGTCAGAGAAATTACTAATACACCCCCTTCTGTTTTGACTGTACTTAAGTGTACTGTAATGTATTGCAAATAAATACTGACATCATTTACTTTTTCAAGATGCAAAAGATCACGTTTGCTGCTGTTTATGGTAAGGAATGTAATGCTACAGCTAGATAAGGGAATACATTGAGAACTGTGAGATTTTTGTTTTGTATTATGATCTTGTTCAAATAAAATTAAGCAGGTGTGAAAGCAATTCAGAAAATAACCCAAGGTACACCACAGTGTTTCTTACAGTTTGCCATTGGCAGATGTCCTTATTCAGATGAACAAGGAACTGCCATTTAATAAACATCGTAGTTTCCCTCATCGTGAGCACTAAAAGATAGGTTACAGTATTTAAAATAATTTTAAAGCAACCACAACCCCAAACCACCCAATTGGAAAGGTATTACCTGAAAATACCCAACAATAAGGTAATGAGTTTACAATGATGCTAAATATGTGTGTGATATAGACGAAACTTTTTTTAAAGACCATTTTTCTAAATGAGTCAACCTGCCATATAGGAAGATATTATGTGGATGTACGTGTTTGTAGAGTTTGAATCCCACTTTTCACAAGCACTGTTAGCATAGTTTGATGATCAGGACACAAACCCAGGAGATTAACCCACACAGGATAAATAGCAGCATTACGTAGCTTTGAAATGATTCCAAACACATAGTTTGCTACAAGAGTGAATGATTCGTGTTTAGCCGTAACTTAGAACATACTCCCCCACCCACTGGGAATGTGAATTCACCCTTCACCAGATCCCACATGTATGAACTTGAAATAAACGTCATTTCCCCTAGCTAATGTGACATTACACCTTATCAAACACCATATATAAGTTACTGACCTCAACTACAGGATTTCGAAATACATATAAACTCAAGAATTTGCAAGATGCTTTGAGAGCTCAGCGGATGGCACATCATACACTCTGTCAGCCACTTCCCTGATCACTACCAACTCAGGCTGCAACAGGGCCACACCCTGTTAGCCTTTAAGCTTTGAAGCCTATCCACCAACACTGGCACCACCCCCTAGCATCATGGGACCTTGCATATTCTCACAGATCTTCTGTATGTTGGACACCATCTTTCTCAAGAACCTCAGCCTTCAAAAGGTACACCTCAGTTGTTTCTTTTCCTTTTCTTTTT